CGGAGGTGTTTGATATCCTCGATACGCCGGATATAGCGTGCAGCCTCACGCTTGGTACCTTCAATAAAGACTAAAAGGCCAGGATGTGTACCCATTCGGGACGCAAAGTCACGATTGTACATCTCCAATTTATTGTTGGTACGGTTGATCACATCAACCCAACACGCATCATCTCCTGAACATTCCACGTCCTAGCGTCATACCTATCCATCCAAGTCTTCAACAAAATACTTCCAGAATGCATTTCACTTTGTCTTTGCTCCAGTTTCGTCGGCAATACTGCGGAGGCATCTAACACCCTAAAAAATTGCAAAAACCTGAGATCCAAAATATAAAATATATATTAACATCAAAAAGGTCAGATTCAAAGTGTAAATAGGAATGATCCAAATATAATAGTGCACGTCTTTGTTTTGGGATTTGGTCCACAGAGAAGACAGCAAGCGTGTCAAATTTGTCGTGGCTGAGCACACTCTAGATTTGGCAGTCTAAAGCGTAGATCGACCATTTTACGACGTAGTGCCTGTTTCCAGTGAAGCAGGCACCCTACGAGATTGGCGCGGGAAACTGCTCCAGAGCTGCGTTAATTAACGCCACTTCGATGTCATACGTGACGTTTCCAGGCTCCAACTTCTTGCTGCTCAAAATGATGAGCTCATTTAGCACCCGCCAGTACATATCTTGCGACTTGTCTTGAACCAACACGTAGCAAATGGGTACATAGAGATTGACGGTAGGCTCAAACGCCATCACAATCAGGCATTGCTTGAAAGGTTTGGGTACCACCGAAAAGGTGCCGTCTATGAAAAGGGTAATCTACGGATACCGCAGTATCAGATCCAAATCAGGGTGCCGAAAACCGATCATGCGATGAATTCCGGTGGTCGACTGTGTGTGGGGTACGCCACACTAAAGTGTAGAAAGGACCTGGGTTCCTTGTCGCTTATACAGCGTACTGAATCATGGTTCTTAAAAATCCAGATATTTTTGTATCCTGGGTGGGATCAAGGGGAATTGGGGGTGGGTGGATAATGGACAATTTACTCACCCAACTCCATTTTCGCATACACTATTTTGTATGGTTTACTTTAATTAATACTTGTCACGTCACAGATATGGAGAACCGTAGTTATTATACAACATTTACTATAGCTTATCTTAGTAATACATCTCACGTCACAGAAAAAGAGGACCAGTTCTGTCCACCCGCTTTCGTCCGCTGCAAGCTAGCGGTTTACTACCGTTCGTTCATATCGTTCTGTTTTTTT